ATAAATATATAAATATTAATTAATGGTAATATTAATATTACGTGGTCCTTTGCTTTCTGTTCTTGCTCTCTTAAGAATGTTGACAGGATCCTCTCCGTCTCATCTCTTAGCAACGGATAACGATTCATCTAAACAGTGAATAAACCAAATTAGTTTAGAGCAACTTAAAAAATTCGTAAAAAATCCAATTTTAATCGGAATCAGCTCAAACTTTCTACGCAACATAAGAACATGTATATGTATCAGGAAATGTAATAAAAATAGAAAATTCTCATCTTTTCATTTTTGGAAAAATTTGGCCTGTGACCCTGTACTATAGTACAGGGACTTTGGCCCAATTTTTTAATAACTTACAAGATTCGTGTAAAAATCCGAAATACTTATGCTCACTTACCCCATCGGCACAGCTCTTCACAGCCGTCATGAGTTCTGCTGACACCATGTCAACACATTTCAGTGCTGGAGACATAAGCTTCTCAATTTGGTTCTTCGTAATGGCTTCAAAGGCCATATCAGGAGTAAACAAACCAACCCTGACACCCTGTATGTTCTGGATGGTGAACGCTATCTCCTTTCTCATGGCCTTCTCATCTTTCTCAAACTAACAAAAATAATAATAATAATAATAATAATAATAATAATAATAATAATACCGTATAGCGCTTTAATTTTACGGAGCTAAAATTTTGCGGATTGATAAAAATCAATTTTTCACAGAAATTACTTTTGCGGATTCGCAATGTTAGTGCCACGCCTTTAATGGCAATTGAAATATTAGCGGATCTTTAATTTCGCGGTTTCATGCTAACCGCGAAAATAGCGAAAGTTTAGCTCCTCCAAAATAAAGTGCTATACAGTAATAATAATAGTAATAATAATAATAATAATAGTAATAATGATGACAATAATTATACTTGTAGTAATTAAAGATTGTCAGAGACATTTTCTTGATTTAATAATGACGGAAAAATTCGTGTTACATTACCAACAATTAAAATATTACATGACCCATATCAAATTACATTTGCAAATAGCCACACTAAATATACTAAAATATACTAAAATATACTAGAGTATACTGAGATGTGCACCACGCATTACCTTGACTAGTTCAAAGGGGAATCTCTCGTGAAATATTTTATTAATTTTAGCTCCACACGTCAGCTCTGACATTACAACTTCAGCTCCTCCTCCTCCTTCTATCGTCCTCTCAAAATCATCACCAAAATTTTGAATAAGACTAAAGAGAGAGAGAGAGAGAGGAAATTGAAAGAGATAAAGTTCCCTAGGCTTACGTAAGGAGAGCTTTTGTCTTGATGGTTGGATCGTTCGGATTGAATCTTTTATATTCCTCAACCTCCTTCTCCATGGCAAACACTTCACTTTGTAACTTTGATCTCAATGATGGAAGA